ATAAAGCATCATTAAAGGAATTCATTTCTTAAATTTGAAAAATCTGTAGGCACCTACCATTTACTAGATCTTGACCTTAAAGACAAGTTACTGCAATTAAAACACAGGAAAATTCTCGCTTTTCAAAAATTACATGAAGTAAATATTTTTTTTTTTGTAAAAATCAATGATGATATATATACATGTATTAGTGATATAAATGCATATTTACCTAACCCAATAATTTTGTCGAGCACTAATAGTATTATTTACAAAGTATAAGAAAGCACAACAGTTTTATGAAATAATTAATGTAAATGATACTGAATCCACTGGGAAAACAAGAGACCCATAGGCCTTATAGGTCACCTGAGTATTATGTAACAACTTTCCAACAATTGAATTTGATTCGTGTTCTTAACCAGAGGTCACAAAATTCACAATACACAATTTTGACAGAGGCACAATTGCTTATCATAGCTATACACTTAGCATGCTTACTACAATTACTTAATACCCAGGTAGATTAGAGTAATGAAACAAAAATGCTTTTCCACTTTATCAGTTGTGCACGCCATCCCACAGGAACCCCTGACTATCGGGCTACATTTTTCAAAATGTTGGAAATTTCATCATGTTGTTGATTAATAGCAAAGTGCGGATTTCAAAGCATTAAATCATTTTCAGACTATGTACACCCCCCCTTAAGTACCTCTGTCCCAGGAGCCCGGAAATTAACCATTTTAGAAGAAGGAGCTTTCTTCATCATAAATATGTACTAAGATCATTGGCTTAATACAGTTATTTGACCAATGTCAAAAACCAGTGCAATCAATATACGAGTCATTATTTCAAAATTTAAGTGTATTTTGTCAAGGTAGTTGTGAGTTGTGGAATTAAATATTATTTAATAAAAGTTCAGCCTTCCCCTCCAAAAAATATTTCGCAAGTTAACATAGGTGTCTTTTTTACCAGTTACGAATAAGCCGACGAGTTCCGAATAACCCAGCGGTACCCATTTAATTTAACCCTAAATTAACAAATATACTTCCCACACATTATCATTTGGAATGCCTAAGAAAAGTTAAATTAATTGCTTACCAATAAGTTATTTGTTTTTCCAAAGGATAAAGAAAACTAGGGGTATTGTGAACACTGAGCTCGCTTAATGATACCTCACGCCTCCTATATGATTCTTTGGCAGACTCGAAATAAGTGTCAGATCAAAAAGTCAAAATAAGAGGTCACATGTACAACGGCACAATATGTAATAAAGAATTCATTATAGTGTCATTAAATTTTATTCAGTGGAATGGAGGAATTGCGGATAAGAGATAGATATACCCTTCAATATTAGAAAGAGTGGCAGTATCTATGGTATGCTAAGGTAACCCAAATTATGTGCCAGATCAAAAAATAAAAACAGAAGGTGTCTTTTGGCACTTTTTAACAAAGATTCTGTGAAAGTTTCATTAAAATTCTGTGAAGCCTCATTAAATTTCATTAGTGGTAGAAGAAGAGTTGTGGATAAGAAATGGGTACCCTAAAGCCTATCAAGGACGGACGTACAGACAGACGGAGGGACATACAGACGGATAGATGGGCAAAAATAGCATCACTATATACCAATCCCACTGCTTGCCCAAGTGGGGTATAATAATGTTCACGATTTCATTTTCCCCCTCAACGAAGAATAAATTAATGATAGTGTTTAAAATGGGTATCCGGAACTAGTAAATTGATTACACAAAAATGTTCCAATATCTTCCAGTGTTCTAAATATTTATTTTAAACAAGCTTTTAGTATTTGTTAGAGTACATATCAAACTTACTTTTGATATAAATGTTGTTTGATGTGAAAAATTGGTTTCTTTACAGAGGTCTATTCTGCAGACTTACACGTCCGGTGATTCAGATTTGTTGCATCAAAAGTATGTTTAATTAACAGTTTTGAGTACGATAACGAAACCGAACGGACAGCAAAAAGTCAAAACTTGGCATAATTCAAACACTAATAATTAAGCCTTCTTACTTTAGGTATCAATTTATTTTTACGCCTTTGAATATATTAATATTTTTCTCTATCTAAATCTATTCATAAAATACTCGGAACTGGCCAAAATCCCTTAACAAGCCAAGTGTAATGCAGAATTTGAAAGAGAAAAAATCAAAAAATTCAAGTATTTTCAGTGTATGAACATTGGAGCCAAAACCTAACACAAGAAGCCCTGACCCAGTGGCCCTGAAATTTACAAATCTCAAAGAGGCGTCTTTTCCTCCTCATAACTATGTACATAGTTCATTAGTTCAATACACAGGTGCAGAAAAGAAGATTTTTAAATAATTTCACCTTTTCACTATATAATCAATAGAAAAAACCTAACACAATAATCCCCAATTGTAACAAATGGTGTGACAAAAAATTTAAATTCAAAATTTTGGAAAATATATTTTTATTTCAACATAACTTTGTACTTTTTTAATAACGGTTAAAAGTTTATTTTATACTCAGGAGCAGAGAAGATGGTTTTCAAAGACAAAATCCAATTTCACTATATAGCCCCACCCTGCCACTGGGGCCATGAGATTCATAATTTTAGAAGAGGCAGCCTTATTCAACATAACTATGCACTTGGTTAGTTTTCTTAATGCCCACAAACAGAGAAAAAGAATTTCGAATAATTTATACATTTTCACTATATAATATACCCAAAAATAAAATTTATGGGTTATTACTAAAACTAAAAACCAGTTCTTCATCATGAAAATGTATTAATTTTGGAGTTTTCTCCCTTTATGCATTTTTGGCAACTGTTTATGGTGATAGTCCGCACAAAATTTTAATCGCTAAAATAATCAGTATTCATTTTAGTGTCCATTTGCAAAGAGCTGAAACCCTGCATCCGCTAAAATAAATTACGCCAAAATTATTGGTATACCTTTGAGCAGTCAAAACACCAAATTTTACACCCGCCAAGAAAACCCGCTATACAGTATATAGTCTCATCTAGTACTAAATTCCTTGACCCTGGGGTCATGAAATTCCCAATTTTGGAGGAGACAGTAATTCTCAACTCAACTATGCACTTGGTTAGTTTCTTCAATATCCAGGAGAAGAAAAAATAATTTCAAAGAAATAATGCATTTTCACTATATAACCTATTTAGCCCGTAAATAGGACTAGAACCCCTGACCCATGTGCCATGAATTTCACAATTTTGGTAAAGGAATCAATGCTGATTACAATGATACGAACAGTTTTTGACTGTCTGATGTCCAGGATTAAAAAAGAAAATTTTTAAAGATTGCATTTATCTTCGTAGTTTTGGCCTCACCCCCAGGCCACAGGGGGGCAATGTTCATGAAATTTTCATTTTTTCCCCCTTCCCCCTTAGATAATATATTCCAAAACTGGTTGAAATTGAATCAGTGGTTTCAGAGAAGAAGTGAAAATGTTCAAATATTAACACACGACGCGTGACGACGGACGAAAACGGATAGCAATAGTCAGGTGACCTAACAAGATGGAATGATATTTTTAATTTAGGGGAATTTTGAATGGAAGATGAAATTCAAACTCCCATTAAAATTACAAAAAATAGTAAACCTTAATGGTTTTCTATACAGAATCTTAAAAAAATATTAGGTACAAACTCATATCTTAGTCTATATAGAATTAGGAAAAGAGATGATAGTTATCTTTCTGCATTATGGAAGAAGAAACAATAACACATGTTTTATAGCAGTGACAATGTACAGACCCTACTCAACAGTTTTGAAATATATTGTGAGCAAAGTATAGGGATTCAACATTTATCTACAAAACTGAAAGTTTCTTTTGAGATTTCTAGTAAAAAAAAACAAAGAAGTTCATAACTTACTGGCCTTATGGATAAAAAAAATTATATATATACAATGAGATGTTAAGAAAAGAAAAATAGATGTCAGACTTTGAATTTCACATATTACTTCTTCATGAAACACAAAGATACTTAGCATAATAGAAATTTTGACAGAGAGTTTTTTTTACACAATCTGGAATCAGTGGAATAAATTGTTTTTATATATAAAATGTTATAAAATGAAACAGTCTTATTTATTATTCAAAGGATTTAACATGCCAACTCTAGATCTCTGACTCTCTCACCTTCTCTCTTACGCGCTCTCTCACACTCTCTCCCTATAAAAAGCAATCTGTAAAAAATCCTAAAAATATTATATTTTGTATGATGAACAATGAAACAGACTATGTAAAATAAAGAAAGAATTAAATTTAAAAAAATTCTGATACACAGTTATTTTTTTCATGTTAATTAAACAAGAGTCCGATTGGCTTTATAGGTCACCAGAGAATCATGTAACAACTTTCCAGCAATTGAATTTGGTTCGCACTTTAAACCAAAAGCAATGAAATTCATAAATTTGAAAGAGGTATAATTCTCATAATTATACACTTAGCATGCTTACTTTAGTTACTTAATGCTCAGAGATAGATCAGAATAACAAAGAGAAAATATATATTTCCACATTATAACCACCAGTTGTGCACTCAAACCCACCCCATACTAACCACCGACAATGGGGCCAACATATTTCAAAATTTTACAAATTTTATTTCATCATACCAAAGAGCAGATCTCCAGGCATTAATTCATTATCAGACAAATGATCCTAACCCCCTCTACCCCTGTCAGGGGACCTAAATTTAACCGTTTTGAAAGAGGGAACTTTTGTCATCATAAATAAGTAATTGGATCATTGTCATATTTACCAGGAGCTAAGAAAAATATTTTCAAATACCCCGGTACTTTATGTATCTTAATTATATAGTCATAAGATCCCCAACTTAACATCAGAACCCCTGACCCAGTGGCACTGTAATTCATAAATTGGGAAGAACCACCCTTCCTCGTCAAAGTTATGTAGTTCATTAATTTAATGCCCCGGAACAAAGGAAAAGAGTTTTAAAGGATTAATGTATTTTCACTATAGAACCAATACAGCTCCACATTAAAATCAGAAATCCTGACCCTGGGGCCATGAAAATTAAGATTGTAAAAGAGACATTCTTGCTTGCTGATCATAACAAATACTAAAAGTACATGTTTAGTTCATTTAATACCCAGGTCTAGAAAAGAAGATTTTCAAAGAATTTATGCAATTTCACTACATAATCAATAGCGCCCGCCCTAACACCAAACTCCCTGACCCTGGGGCCATAAAATTCATAATTTTGGATGAGGCATTTTTGCTAAATATAACTATGAAATGTCATAATTAAAATTATGCATTTTCACTATATAATCTATTTAGCCTCGTCCAAGTACTAGGACCCCTGATCATGAGGCCATGAATTCCACAATTTTGGTAGAGGATTCCATGCTGATTACAATCATGCCAACAGTTTTACTGCTTCATGTTTAGGACTAAAGAAGAAGATTTTTAAGGATTACATTAATTTTTGTGGTTTTGGCACCTCCCCTAAGGCCCCAGGGGGACAGGGACAATAAAATTCACATTTATTATTTCCCCTGTACCCATAGATGTGTTGTGACAAATTTGGTTTAAATTGGTTGTGCTGTTGCAGAGAAGAAGCTGAAAATGTTCAAATGTTAACACACAACGGACGAAAACAGACAGCAATAGGTCACCTGAGTCTAGGTGACCTAAAAGGTTATTCTGAAGTACATGTATGAGACAGTAGCAGATTCATAACATCCACTATAACTTAATCTGATACACAGATAAATTTTGATTCATACATATAATAAAGTTTCAATATATTCACTGAGTGTGTCTTTAAACAATTGACGTTCCAAATATTTTCTTTGTCATACATGTAATATAATCACTCAGTGTAACATATTAAGTTCTCTTTCTAAAGTCACAGAAAAAACATTTACAAATTCATAATCAGTGGGTTTTTTTAAATTTGAAACCAATCAAGTCTATCAAAAATCAGATCTATTATTAGAAAAAAACCAATAATTTTGAACTAGAATATCACTACTTAGTTAATATAAAACAATACACATTTTACTTTTCTTGTTTCAAAGAAAAAGTTCAGATTTACACTCTTAATTCGACTCATGCTTTATTTCAAGGCTTTTCTACTGCTGCTTTCATATCTTCTATTTCTAAACACAATTTTTTCACCATTTTATGCAGACTTTCCATTTTGATCTTTTCTATAATGGCATTTTCATCTTCCATTCTCAAGGTCATTTTTTGGATTTTATTGAGGTCATCCAAATACTTCTTTCCCGTATAAGTTTCCAATCTTTGGCAGATATCTGAGATAATGGACCAGGTTTTCTGGAATTCTGACTTTGATGTGGAGGCTGAGCTAACATGTGCAGTCAAACCGTTCCGGATTGACCTAATTCTCTCGACATCATCACCCACGGTCACTTCTCCTGCTGCAGGCTCGTCTCCCCATTTTCCTTTTGTTGGTTTAGGAACCTTTTTACAAATGTTTCTGATCAATGTGTATGTTAACGAGATATCAAAATTCTTATATCCCGAATGTTTAGCATCCTGCAAGGTATGCTCTTGTTCTGGGCGCAATCTTTTATAAACAGATGATGCTTTGACTTTGTTCTCAATGTCGGAAGGTGGCACCTCCATCTCCAGTATATCTCTGTATGCCTGATTTAACACATCGTTTGTTGCCATTCCGAGTTTTGCAAATCTAGATTGGTCCCCCAGGTCTTGTCCTGAGGCGATTGGAGTTGTGGAAGCGCTTGTCTTCATCTGAAAAAAAGTTTTTTTTTTTCATTTTAATTTGAACTCATTAGCAAAAAATAAAATTAGAAGAAGAAAATATCATGAAGAAATTAGTCAAAATCTACAAAGAGTATTGACCTGGAAAATCATATGATAATGGACAGCATGCATTATAGTTTGTTGACAATTAATTAGGTTATTATAAATTCCGTTTACATTACACTTGAAATTTTGTGTTTTCTTCTCCATAATACATTTAACTATATTATAGAATTTTGGAATCAATAGTATTTTTATATTTTGTTTACCTTGTTAACTCAATAAGATTTTAATCTTTTCAATTACTTAATTGACTACTTGTTTTTTGTCTTGACCAAATTTTAACCAAATAAAGGAATAGCATCAAGGTATATATACATCAAAATCGAAAATAATTTATTTGATACACATTTCAAACCTATTATTTCAAACTTAATTTATTCTATCTCGCAGATCATATATGTTTCATTTCAGTATCTGAAGACAACAATTCACACTACCTGTTTCCAGTATTTGAGGATTTCTGTAGTGTCAATATTGTGCTTTTTCTCCACAGGACAGGAAGGGCACAGAAGAGTCGGCTCTGTTAACTCAGATTCCTTGATCACGTGACTTTTTTTACTGTCACAAAAGCCGATGGGTTTGCATTTAAAGCCAATTTGGAATTTCAAGTTTCTTTGAAATGTAGAGGACAGAGTGTGCAATTCATCTTCAATTTTCTCTCTTATCTTGATACATGTGGGTATATCAACTTCTCCCTCAATTACGTACACCTGCAACTGAATTTCTGATTGGGTCATTCCAAGCAGAACACAGTGTTTCTCGAACAGAAACACAGCCGCTGTCTGGTAAATGCATGGTTGTTCTTTTCCTGCTTTATTTACTTTGACAATTTTCCATCGAAATTGCACGCAACTTGCAACAAGACGCTGAAAAATTCCAGCAGGAAGAACATCAAACATGTAGCAGAGGATGGATGAGGCAGGGTAGGATGAAAAACTGCGTACAGGAAACGTTCTTTTGTTCATACAGGGAACATACCAATTGTTATCTTCCATTTTAGCCAGGAGACCAAGCTTCTCCATGTAGCGCATGATATCATCTTTGTGTTCAAGGTACCCATTGTTGTTCATTTCCCATATCGCAGACAGCAGTGTGTCACTGAGTTCTCCTGTTTCATTAAATTTGTCCCATTGTGAGGCAAGCTTAAATAGATCCTCTGCTGCATGGTTTTTATCGGTAATGACATTTTTGAATGCATCTGCAAACCATTGAACATCAAGAATTATTATTCCTCTCAGAGATTCTTGGTCAAAGTGTAAAATTTCTCTGATGTCATGGAAAAACTGCAGCATGGTGTTAATATCTTCTTGTGTTCCCAACTTCAATTCTTGTGGCAATGCTTCATTGAAAGCCAAAAGTGTCTCTTTGCTGATGATTTTAGGGTTTTTCTTTTCCTGGAAGAATTTTTCAAACAATGCCCAGGAGTGCGGAAGTTTTTCACCCCAGTGATCAAGATTTCGGACAACATCAACAACTGACAGCTTGATTTTTTCAATGCATTCATTTTCATGGAATCCAATAGCAAACATCCTTTTCCTGTCAATATGCCTTTGCAGAGACGCATCCTTTGTTTCCAAGATCGTCCATATATCACGAAAAAACTTTTCTTTTTCCTGGGAAAAAAGTTATTCAGTTAAAAAGTATAAAGCTAGCATACAATGGACTTAGCTGTTCTTGAAAAGCTGTTTTTTTATTTTACATTGTAAAAATTTGATCCTCATTTTCTTCCTACCTTAGGGGTTATTTGAAAGATTGAAATTTGAATCTTCATTACCTTACATTAGGATACCTTTCATGTCAGCATAATTAAACATAGCCTTTATGTTATTGCTTTTTGTTCCAACTTGGAAGAACATTTTTCCTTAATGTATTGATAATTAAAATTTTGATCACAAACTGTGGCCCCACAATATCCCGGCGAACATGATTTGATTGAAAATAAATTTTAAGAAGAATGTTCAAATACGGCAATTTTTGACTCTGTAAATTTCTGTAAAAGTGAAAAAGCTTTGCTTCACTTGAGAATGCATAAAATATCATTTAGACTCTTGGCAATTGAGAATCCATAAAAAATTACGAAATATTTTTGTCATGCATTATGACATCATGAATTGCGTCTTTCTCCTCATATTCTAAAGCAAGCAACAAAACGACCAAATTTTAAAGTTCTCTCCGATATTTTCTATAGGGCGCAATATCAAATCTAAAATATGTCATAATGATAATGATAAAAGGATGGAAATTTTTTTTAGGATTATAACACAAGTTTTACAATTTTGGATTAAAGATTCTACTCATAATTTTTTCTTCTCTGAAAGTACTCAAATATACCAGTTTTTCTTAAAATTTAAGAACATTGAATTATCATAGAGCAAGTTTTCAGGAAAATATTTGTTTAATAGGCCTTGATTTGGACTAATTTAAATTCCCTTCACCTGTATTATAGTATAACTTTACAATATAGTCTGTGTTAAGTTTGGTTGAAATTAGCCCAGCGATAATTGAAAAGAGTTTTAAAATATTAAAAGACGACAGACAGCGGGCAAATTTGATCAAAAAGTTCCTTCGCTTCTGCAGTTTCAAAGAACTAAAAAGCTTTTGCAGTGCTATCAAATACCTCCTTTGTCTTTTGTTCAGCATGAGTGCCCACCAGTAACACGGGAGCCTTTTCACTGCTGTATTGATGAATGGACTTGGTCCAGAATGTTAGATAGTCTGAATAAAATAAAAATCATTATTTACTCAGTAACTTTATTAATAAGTCTACATGATACATCACCCTGTAAGCCTACATTAAACTTCATGTAAAAATCTATAGCATGTTTATGGGTGTATTCATCTTCAAAAGAAACCAAGATGTGTTTGTGAAACACTATGCGCCCGGAGGCAACAAAGTTCGGAAAAAGCCAATTTTAGCATTAAGGTCACAGTTAAGGTCACAAGGTCATTGACCTTTGCTTCATTTGAAAGAGCTTGATTTGTGGAGTATGCATAAAAAATATGAAATCTCAATCTATCCTAGTTCAAAATTTATAGTGAGGGTTCAAAAAAGCTACTTTTTAGCATATATATCACAGTCAAGGTCACAGGGTCATTGACCTTGGTATCAATTGAAAGAACCTGAATATTGGAGTATGCATGCTTAATATGAGTCTCTATCTTTCATGGTTCAAAAGTTATGACGAAGGTTCAAGTTTGCAGAAAAAAAACTATTTTTAGCATATACTTGTAGGCCACAGTTAACGTCACAAGGTCATCCATCCTGGTGTCATTTGAAAGAGCTTGATAAGTAGAGTATGCATATCAAATATGAAGTCTGTATCTTTCATGGTTCAAAAGTTATAGTGAAGGTTAAAGTTCGAGACAAACAAACAAACAAACAGAGAGACAGCCATACAGACAGGACAAAAACAATATACGCCCTGGATCTATCGATCCGGGCGCATAAAAAAATTATCTTTAACAAGAACTCAATCATACATGTAATACAATCAATAAATTTGCAAATTCCTGAGGCCTAAATCCTGTTAAGTTGAGATTAATAAAACATTATGAAACCTCTGTAATGAGAAACGAGCATCAGCCTAATTTTGAATGTATGACCTTTGTATAGACTTGACTAAATCCATAGACCATAACAATCATCTTAATCATTTTGAACTGTTGTTATTCTTCATAGCAGTTTTCAAGGTCATTGTATCGACCATAGAACTTTCGAATATATGACTTTAAAAGAGACTGCTTGTCAATAATAAAAGTTAAGCAGAAAGATGTTCCATACTTATAATGCATCTGCTTTGACAGAAACTATACAACTACACGTAATAAACACTAATTATGTAATAAAAACATACCTTTGTGTGTCCACCCTTCGTAAATTGAACCTTCTTGGCTACAGACTTCTTTTCCAACCTTTTCAAGTAATTTCTTTTCCATATTAAGCACTAGGATGAAGAATGCCCTTGGACTCAGAAAAATCTGGTGTGAGGCATAATATGAACACTGTCCTGCAAAGTCTACCATAGTAATTTTTTTCTCTGGATCATCCGATGCATCTTTGGAAACTCGTAAAATTCCCGATATTTCTGATTCTTTAGGAATATTTTGTTTGTCTTCAATCATTTCCTCTTTTTCCAGAAAGGCAGCAGCTTCATTCCCTTTACGTGATTCAGATTCTGTATTCAAGCTCTCATGTGTAATTTCATCATCACTTGACAATTCTTCATCGCTTGTTCTACTGTCTGTGTCCTTCTGATATCCTTTCTCTTCAATGTCCAATTTTTTCATGTCACCAGATAATTCTGCAGGTTTGTCCTGAATACTCTTTTGTTGCCTTGATTCATCAAGTTTAACTTTAAAGCGTTGCTTTTGGCTTGATGAATTTACTGCAAAACGAAAATAAATATTTGATTTTTCTTTTTAAATATTCTATTAATTTCTTCAAATTACAAACATATGTTTGAACATCATTAGCTTAGCTGATCCAAATTATTTCATGAAAAATAGAACAAGTCAGGCATGAAGGTCTCTCTCTCTCTCTCTCTCTGTACATGAATTAAATAAATGTTCAAGTTTATAATGGAATTATAATAAGTTAATTTCAGTTATCCTGGTTTAATTTTCAAGGTCATGATTCAGCTAAATTTGAATCTTTGCTAATATTGGACATTCACAGTTTTTACATGTAGGTCACGAAATGAAATAAAAATTTGGAAAAATAATTTATCTTTCTTTCATCTTTTCATCTGTTTCTTACATTTGACCTTCTGGTCTTTCATCAGGATCAGATATACATCATAAGCAATCTTTACGCCAATTCTTAGCTAAGTCCTGAAATCTTCTACTGTGTTTTTTTATGCGACCGCATTGATACATTTGGGGCATATATATTGTTTTGTCCTGTGTGCCTGTCTGTCTGTCTGTATGTTTGTCTGCTTGTCTGCAAACTTCAACCTTAACTTTTGAATCATGAAAGACAGAGACTTCATACATGTAGTATTTGGAATGTATCCTTCATTTATAGAGTTCTTTCAGATGACACCAAGGTCAATGACCTTGTAACCTTCACTGAGACCTATATGGTAGAATTAGATTTTTGTCTGCAAACTTTAACATGTGCCATATCTTTTGAACCATGAAAGAATTTGGCATACATATTCCACTAATAAGCTCTTTCAAATGACATTAAGGTCAATGACATTGTGACATTGACTGTAACCTTTACGCTCAAATAGCTTCTTAGAACATTTACCATAACTTTTGAATCCATGAAAGATAGAGAAATCATATTTTATATGCACACTCCACTTATTAAATTCCTTCAAAGGACACCAAGGGCAACGACCTTTTGACCTAGACTGTAACCTGTATGTTAAAAATAGCCTTCTTGTATCTTTGCCATAACTTTTGAACCATAGGAGGTAGAGATTGTATATCTGGTATGCAAACTTCACTAATTTTGATCTTTGAAATGGCACCGAGGGCAATGACTGTGACCTTGACTGTGACCAATGTGCTAAAAATAGCTTTCTTGAGCTTTGTTGTCCCTGGGCGCATAGTGTTTCACAAACATATTTTGTTCAATATAATCCAGACATGGTTCCTACAGTATTCTTTTTCTGCAGAGTAACTATAAACTTTTCCAAACAATTTTATGTGTAACAATCATGGCATACTATTCTCAGTCAGAGTGCTTGTAACACATGTCTTATACCATGTCTTGATTGTAACAGGTTATTTGGAACACTTCATCTGATGCGATAAACAAGAGGCCCATGGGCCACATCGCTCACCTGAGAAGCTTTGACCATTTTGTTTCTTTACCAATTTTCCCCTTTTAATACATATTACGACCTCACCCTACCCCACTGATCATAATTTAAACATATTGAAATCTACACTACCCCAAGATGCTTTCATGTGCACATAAGTTTCAGCTTTTCCGGCCCAGTGGTTATTGAGAAGAAGATTTTCAAAGATTTTCCTATATATTTCTATGTAAAACTTCCGCATTGTGGCCCTGCCCTACCCCCAGGGGTCATGATTTGATCATTGTAGAATCTACGCTACCCCAGGATGCTCCACATAAGTTTCAGGTTTTTTGGCCAAGGGGTTCTTGAGAAGATTTTCAAAGATTTTCCTATATATTTCTATGTAAAAGTTTGATTACCCATTGTGGCCCCGCCCTACCCCAGGGGGTCATGATTTAAACAATTTAGGATCTACACTACCCCTGGATGCTTCCACATAAGTTTTAGCTTTTCTGGCCCAGTGGTTCTTGAGAAGAAGATTTTTAAAAATTTTTCCTATATATTTCTATGTAAAACTTTGATTCCCCATTGTGGCCATGCCCTACCCAAGGGGGTCATGATTTGAACAATTTAGGATCTACACTATCCCAAGATGATCCACATAAGTTTCAGCTTTTCTGGCCCAGTGGTTCTTGAGAAGAAGATTTTCAAAGATTTGAATATATAATTCTATGTAAAACTTTGATTCCCCATTGTGGCCCCACCCTACCCAAGGGGGTCATGATTTGAAAAATTTAATATCTACACTACCCCAGGATGCTTCCACATAAGTCTCAGCTTTTCTAGCCCAGTGGTTCTTGAGAAGAAGATTTTTCCTATATATTTCTATGTAAAACTTTGATTCCCCATTGTGGCCCCGCCCTACCCCAGGGGGTCATGATTTGAACAATTTAGAATTTACACTATCCCAGGAAGCTTCCACATAAGTTTCAACTTTTGTGGCCCAGTGGTTCTTGAGAAGATTTTTTTAATGACCCACCCTATTTTTGTCTTTCCTTAATTATCTCCCCTTGTGATGGGACTTGGCCCTTCATTTAATCAATTTAAATTTCCCGTCAGCTCAGGATCCTTTGTACCACGTTTGGTCAAAATTGGCCCAGTGGTTCTTGAGAAGAAGTCGAAAATGTGAAAAGTTTACAGACAGACAGACGGAAAGACAGTCGGACGGACAATGGACAAAATGTGATCAGAAAAGCTCACTTGAGCCTTCGTCCCAGGTGAGCTAAAAAATCATACCCTTGATTGTTTTTCCAGTTACATCAAATATGTCAGCCTGGACATCAATTCCTCTGGTTGACTTTGAACTTTCCAGAATTTCTTTCAGGTCGGTGCCCTTCAGTCTTTCTAGTAGAGTTGACTTCCCACTACCTGCACACCCAATGATCATCCCAGAGGCGTGGTACATGGTTGTCTCCCCCTTCTTCAGATTTTCAATGAAATTCTTCACTGACTCTTCTCCTCTCATCAAAATCTGCATTGGCACACCAACTATGACAAAATAAATCATCTGTCATTGTATTGCTGTTTTACTACATTGTAGTTAATACTAAAATTTTCAAGGTAAACAAGTGCAGTTTATGCACACTTTCTTTTTCTTAAGTATTCTTTTTATAAACAAAGTTAATAATTTAGATATATAGGTTAAACATGAAGGTCAGGGTCACAAGTTAAAAATAGTAACAAGCTCAGAAATATCTTGTTGTTGGCAATACACAAAATTAAATATGAAAGAACTTTTTCTTCATTAACAAAAGTTATTTGGAAAAATTGATAGTATTTGTTTATCAATTAGCCTGAAATATGCATTTATATTTTATAGTCTATGAAATTTATACACCAATGACTAAAGTTTAACACATTCTTTAAATAGAATCTTGGATCCAGATATCTAAATACAGGTCAAATTATGCCATTTAATTATTATACTGATTAGTTGATGAGTATCATGATGGTTCCAAATTTTGAGTGAGCTGAGTTACACAATGTTTTCATGGTCTTCGATATTGAATATTGTTTAATATCTACATATCCTTCATTTTACACGGTATATACTTAGGGGAAGTTATAAAAGAAAGACTCACAATTTTTAAATACATCCTCATGTATTGTTGTATCCTGCCATGTTGGATGGATGAAAATATCCTCTCCAAGTCTTTCTATCAATTGTTCTGTTTGTTGTGGTGATAACCAGCAAAAGACTTCCCCCTCTTTCTTTGGATAGGCCCATGACCTGCAGTACTCAGCGATGTTGTCTTTTTCTGCCGAAGTCAGAAAAATATCCACAAAATCTGGATTTTTAGCGAATCTAAAAAAACTGGTGTGTTTAAAGAAATCACAAGAAAACTCAACATTCACACTATCCTGTCTGAGTATTGGTTTGTACTTCTTTAAGTTGCTAAGATTGGACGGCTTCTTAATCTTCTTGAATTTGAAAACTTCAGCAACATCATTATACTTCTCTATCCAGAGTTGTTCTTCCAGATTTAATTTGTATGAAGGGCAAAGCAAAAGGCACATCAAAACTGCGTCTCCATCTACAAATAAACAGAAAGTCCATGTACCACAACACTCACTGTAGTTTTGGCTAGAGAAAAAGCAGAAGAATTTAATTAAGTATTTAAAGTTAAAAGATACAAGTGATCCATATCTATCCCCTGAAGTGGGAGGGGTTGAATAAACTTGCATTGACACTTCTTTAGAATGTTTTCATATTTTTTACTATCAGGAATCAACTCTACAGCAGATGCTCTACTATTTTCCAGCAAGGGTGCCCCATAATTGGTTAAAATTTCAGAGAAGGAAAGAATTTTCAAATGCTAGCACAAGAGGCACGCTGGACATACACAAAAAAAGAAATATATTAAGTTCACCTGACTCAAGTGATCTAATGGAAAGGTAAACTCTTATGACAGATTAGCTAAGGGGTGTCCACACTGTAGCTTGAACCTACAACCCTAAGATTTAAAATCCAACGCTCTACTGACTGAGTTAAAAGTTTAACCCACTAGCTGGTGTTAGTAGGAGCATGGCCTCACTAATTACATATACAACACCTGGCAACTTTAAACTTGTACATTCTCAAAAATAAATGTCTAGATGTTTTAAAAACATATTCTGCATGCATCATTACAAACCTTTTCTCTTGTGAATTTCTCTGAATAATTTCTCAACATCTCTAACATCATGTTTTTTATGATCACTGGAGGTTTTGATGCACTCCTGACACAAGGTGACGTCACACGGGATACAGAACTGGGATAATGGACGGCTTGGATGTTTCCTGCATTTGAAATCCTCCACAGGGAGACCTTTTAAGAAGAAAATAGGAATATGCATAAGATATTGACATAATTTTTAGCATTTCAACATTATCATATAATTTCTATTTTCTTTGTATTCCCCCATATCAAGTGTAAGGCTGACATTATATTCAGATTTGAATACAATACACTTGTCAGGAACATTTCACTTTTTTATTTTTTTTTTACAATTCCATGTAGTGAAGTATGAAGTGTCCACTGCAATAAAATGATTACCTATTTGATTCATACACAAAAAGTTCTGAAAAGATTACACAACTTAGTTATAACCGCTATCAGTGAACACTTTATGTAATATACATGACGATGTCAACCCAGTACACTGTGTAGATTTACTGAACACCTGCTACAGAAATACACAACATTCCTAAACAGAGCTGGTGTTGATATATATGGTGTTGATATCAAAATCATGTCTTCTGTTTATAAAACTATGTAAAAATACTGTAGAGACTGAATTATTTTTTTCAAGAATGAAGTACAAAGTACTGAAAGAACTTGAAGAATGCCAATATATCAATCCCTTTTAAGAATTAGAATACCCCCTCCCTTTCATAGTCATACCCCTGATCTCTAAATCCCCCAACCCTCCCCCACCATACCCATTTAACAGTTGACTATTCCCTAGATTCCATTTCCTTACAATTTTAGTGACATATAAACAGTTAAACAAACATTAAACCACATCATTAAATTCCCTTCCATTCCTCGTATTAGCAGCCTACTACATATATACTTTAAAGTTTAGTCCACAATTATAATGTCAGCCAAAACAAAAGTTAGAATCAAAGAGAGATGTGTTCAAATAAATCAAAGTCAACAAAGCTTAAAACTTATCTTCTTAAGCCTAGAACACAAAAACTTATTTAAGGAATGAATTCAATAGCAACCCAAGTTATACTGTAAAACCTTGATAGGGACAGTTTACGCTTTTTAGTTCATTCCTTATAAATGATTTCATTTTAAACCTTTAAGAACAATTTCTTCCTTAAAATGCCTTCAGAATTGTTATAGTGATTTAAAAATAGGTCAACCCATTGATTATACAATTAATTATTTTTTTATCCAAACAAATGACTTTTTTTTTTTTACAAAACCAAATTTTATTATTTATAAATAATAAACATATCTTAATATTTTAAATAATGTATCTAGTTATAATTCATACATGTAAAATTATAAAAATACTTTATAATTCATAAATCCCCTTCTTAGAAATATTTTTGTCTATTTGTCATCAAACTAAACTAAACATGTTGTGTTATTAAACTGAAAACAATCCATGAAATGATTCAGTAATGACTTTCCCAATAATTATCAAATTGTCTTTATCATATTGTGTACACACAGTATTGTAAAACAATTGAAATACATGTAATTAAAAGTGCTAAACTATAACTATGTACATTATTACTTACCAGTCAGAGAGTCTGTATCTACCACTCTGTATAGGTTGACTGTGTTGTTGGTGTATGACCCTACCCACAGTAGGTGTGTGTCATCATCATAACTCAGGCCGTATGGTGTGTCTATCCCGTGTTGTGGTGTCAGTATCTCTGTCAGATAGTGACCCTCACTATCTAACATCTGTACTGAGTCGGTCCAATAATCACACACCAGGATGTGTGACAGCGCGTCAGTACAGATTCCATATGGATATAGTTCTGATCCTGATGGAGGACCTGTGTAGGAGAATCGGTAATTACCGTCACGATCTGTCACCACTACAGCACGCCACGAGTCAGACACAATAACATCTCCATTGCGGTTCTCTGTGATGTAGACAGGATATATATACAGTCCCTGACCTGTGATGTTGTTGTGCTGTATGGTCTGGATGTTTTCTCCTGTGGAGTTATACCGCACTACCTTGCCTTGTCTCCCTGTATCACGTCTAAACATCCCGACCAGCAGGTCTCCAGTGGAGGGGGAGCTGTAGACACACTGTGGTTCCCATGGTGATGTGTTGTACTTTATTATCGTAGTCTTTTCTTTGTTCTCTGTAGACAGTTTAATGATGTTATCACTACTGTCTATATAAAATAGATCACCGTTAGAATCCACAGTGTGTCCTCCATAATCACTACCTATATCTGTCACACGATTTAGTTCTTCTCCTTTTGAGTTTGTCAGTATAAGATTGCCTTTATAATCACTGATCCAGACCCGGTCTGATGTAACACGTGAAATGTGACTACACCCACTAACACCAGACACGGTGAGAGATTTCTGTAACACTCCTCTATACATTATTGACAGCAGACATCTATTTCTTTATCCTGATGTTTTATAACAGAATCCCGTGTGGATTTCCTCAGTCAGGGAGATCTCTCTGTAAATTACAACATTGTAACAGAATTATCTACATCAGTTACACGTCTCTATTTATAATTGTAAGCATACTGGTATATCAATGTCTTAGTTTTAATAACATAAAGAATATTATATTGAATTAAGATACAGAAAAACATAAAATACCTTTACACTGAGTATTGAATCCTTTACAAATCTCTCTGTAGGCATATATCATTGTCTTAGTCTTAATAACATGAAGAATAAAATTGAATTAAGAGAAAGATAAATACAAATACCTTTACACTGAGTACTTTTTTTAATCAGGATCTCTCTAGAAGGGTCCAACTGTTCACCATAAGTCTGATCTTAAAAATCAATATTGATAAATAATAACATTGTTGAAACTGAAGATTTAGATTTCTCAAGTTACAAGTATAATAATTTATCAACTGAAGACATTTTCAATGAAAAAAAAAACATTTATATCCATTACAGTTTTTTTTAAATCTCAGGATAATGAATTCATTTGAAATATTAAATGTCAATTATTTCCAGTAGAAGAGAGTAGAACGTTATTATTTACACAGAATGCTAAAACATGATAAACTATGTTTTCTTTATAAATTTACAACATTGTCAATTGATGAGCAGTATTAAATGTAGATTTTCGTGATCGTGACAAAATAGGTACATGTAGGTATGATCTACATTATGTTGTGACATGGTTATAAATAGTAACAGAGAAATGTATACCACGCTGATTTCTTGTATCTGGAAAAAACTGTATAGCCTTCATTCATCTGTTTCTGTTCTGTCTTCTGGCTAAAGAAAATAAGGAATATATTATTATTCACCATTATTACAAAACGTACATCTCTTCAGCTTATATATATTTAAATAAAAAGAAAATTGTCTTCATTATGAAATAAAAAAAATCTAATGATAGCTTTCATCTGACAGGGATTTATGGTTTCAGCAATTTTTAAACAAGAGGCCCATAGGCCACATCACTCACCTGAGTAACTTTGATCTTTAACAGATTTTCCAATATGTAAGACCTATTGAGACCCCGCCCTATCCCCAGAAGTCATGATTTGAACAATTTAGAATCTACACTATCCCAGGATGCTACCACATAGGTTTCAGCTTTCTGGCCCAGTGGTTCTTGTAAAAATCTTTAAAAAGTTGGTTCCCCTATATTTAAATGTTAAAATTGGATTCCCTATTGTGCCCCCGTCCTACCGCTAGGGGTCATTATTTGAACAATTTATAATCTACACTATCCCAGAATGCCCCCATGTAAGTTTATAATTTAGATTCTACACTACACCAGAATATTTCTACAAAAGTTTCAGCTTTTCTGGCTCAGTGGCTCTTGAGAAGTTTTTTTGATGACCCCATTCTATTTTTGTCTTTTCTTAATATCTTTCCTTTGAGGGGGGGGCATGGCCCTTAATTTCAACTTCATTTTAAGATTTTAAAGTTCCCTTTATCAAAGAATGTTTTGTACCAAGTTGGGTTAAAACTGGCCCAGTGGTTGATGAGAAGACGTTGAAAATGTGAATTAAGTTTACAGACAGACAGGAGGAAGGACGGAAGACGGACAAATTTTGAAATCTGTAAACTAATTTTAAACAAATGGCCTAATGTATTTCACTATAAAAATCAGTAGAGCTCCACCTTAACACCAAAATCTTGACCCATGGCCATAAAATTTAAAATTTTGGAAGAGGCAAGTCTGCTTATCATAACTAAATACTTAGTTTGTTTAATACTCAGGGGTAGAGAAAAAGATTTTCAAAGAATTAATGTATTTTTACAATATAATCACTAGAGCCCCACCCTAACACCAGAACTCCTAACCCTTGGGCCATGAAATTAAAAGAGGCATTCTTGCTCATCAGAACTATGTATTTAGGTTTATTTAACACCCATGGACAAAGAAGAAGATTTTCAAAGAAATAATGCATGTTCACCATATCATCTATTTAGCCCCTTCTAGCACTAGAACTCCTGGCCCAGGGGCCATGAGCAATGAATTTCACAATTTTGGCAGAGGACTTAATGCTCATTATAATCATGCCAACTATGTGACTGCTTGATGTCCAAAAGTAAAGAAGAAGATTTTTGCATTAATTTTAGTGGTTTGAGCCTTAATGTCTTGGGGGGGGGGGGGGGGGGGGGGGGGCATAAAATTCACAATTGTTGTTACCCTTCACTCATTGATGCTTAATGCCAAAATTGGTTGAAATTCGTTTGGTTTTTGCTGCTTGCAGAGAAAGAGCTGAAAATGTTTAAAAGTGAACATACGACGACGGAAAAAAACATATAGAAATAGGTTAGGTGACCTACAGAGTTCTGTCCCACATGTGATCTTTAACATTCAACTACAAAACTTTGAATATCCTCTAGGTAAAAGAGATTTAAAAACCTGTAAGGAGATGATGCTTCCCTTTCCCTGACAATGGTTGGATATAGTGCACACTGGGGAATCTGTCAAAATAAATTAAGACTATTACATGTAACCTATGTATATATAAAAATAAAGAGTCCTTGAGCTAGTAATACACCAGAAGTGTTAAAATTCAAATAATATTTGATTTTTTAGGATATGTTCATACATACATGTATACAAGACTTGAAGTATATACCTAACTTAAAAATACAATTACAACGCAAATTAATGCTTACATATGGGTCAATCGATATACATGTACCCTTATGAGAGATTTAAAAAGAAACCTGTAAGGAGATGATTCTTTCCTCTTCTAGACAATTGGATAGTAGGATTCTGGGGAATCTGTCAAAATAAATTGAGACAATTAGCCTATATATAAATAATGAACCATTTAGCTTATGAAACACTATGATAGGTCCAAAAATTCAAACAAAGTTTTCTTGGGGTATGTTTATGGATTTAGATATATATCATGCTAGGGAACTAACTAATCATGGCTTTAATGGATTTTCTCCCTATATATTTATCTACTGTCATCATACCCCCATGGGTCATGACGAACAAATAATGAAATCTACACCACTTGTGGATGCTTCAATATTGATATAAGTAATCATGGCTTTGTTGTTCTTGAGAAAATAAGGCATTTCCTATATTATTACGTGAAACTTAGATCCACCATTGTTGCCTCACCCTACCCCTGGGGCATCATGCTTTTAACAAACTTTCATTTAAACTGCCCAGGGATGTTTGTTTATAATCATTTTTAATAGATTTTTAAAAAGACATTTTTATATGCATTCTCAAACTTGTATAACACTGATGTCTTTATGTGACCCCCCCCTCCCCCAAAGAGTTTACATGCCAACATAATATAAACTTGTTGATTTTTCATGAAAATATCCCATTCATTTAAACCTCTGAGTCCGATGCTGAAGAGTTTTGGAATAGCCTGCTTCGTATACTTCATTCTACTACCTAAGTAAAACTAATTTAATACGAGCTCGGATTTTGCAAATTTCAAAGATATAGCAAAGTCATCTTTGATCTCCATCTATATAAGTTTTACGAATTCCTTACAAGGATATAATGAATTACAGAGACAGCAAAGTAATTTCACAGGTCACAGTGACTTTGTTATAACCGAGTTAAACTTGTATTTCATCATGTTCATAAAGGAATGAACTATAGTACGAAGTATTTGAAGCAGATTATTTCGGAACTTATCAGCAGTGGAGGCTTAAATGAATGGAGTATTTCTGTGAAAAATCAACAACTTTATATTTTGTTGGATTTAAACCTTTTAAAAGTAAGAGAGGAAAGTTGCAAAGAAAAAGTTGAAGTGGGAAGCTAATTCATTTCAGCCCGTATTGATTGAAACAAGCAGTCGAGGTCGGGGCAAAAAAGCCCTAATCCCGATGGCAAGAGCCGTTGGGTATGATCCCTGTTACTTTACATTCAATTATACGGAAGTCAAACCCTTTTCTTATGGATTATTTATACTTCCTTGTTAACAACTTACACACTCTCTATCGTAAACAAACCAAAACTCAGGTTATGTCAAGGAGACATGACATTACTTTGATTACCAATTATTTCACACGTGTTCCTCCCAACAATATTGCTTTCTACAGTGACTTTTTATATATACTCTTTTCGACCTTTTCAACGTCTGCGTTTGGACTGGATCTTTGGATGCCAGTATTTTTTGGTATTTCGATCCCGATATGTATTTACACATCACTGGAAATGTTCGTGTCTATGATATTTAAGGATAAATAACACAAACAAACTTTTTTCAGAAATCAGCATTATTTTTCATGGATTTACATTTAAATTGACATCCTGAATAATGTTTACCAAGTAGAGTTGGAGAATTTTATAAGATTTTGTCGTAAGGTTTAAAAATTGTGCAAAATTTTGTATTGAATTATATAGAAAGCAAAACAAAATCTCATATATAAGCACCAAGGAAAACCTACGATTTCTTAATATTTCAGGGTTTTATTATTTATGTCATATCAAATCAAAATCAGTCAAAAAATATATATCAACCCGCGCATCCATTTTTTGTTTGTGGTAAGTACCCTTAAAAGAGCGGAATAAGAAATAATAATCCCCAAACTTACTTTCATTGCAACATATATCAGCAATATTGTTCTTCAGTAGACATGGTAGATAATTGTAGTCTGAACTTTTTTTTTAGATTGTCATAAATAAATGTTATGGATATTAGATATATATATATATACGTCAGATACTCGAGATTATTTCTTTTTCCGTGAAGTATTATATAAAATATGCACTTGTTAATGATAAATCCAGGAATCTTGAAAAGGGAGTCTAACCAGTTTAAGGTCGGGGTAGAGGCCACACCCAAACACATGATTTATGAAAGCTTGTGTATATTATGGACAGAAAAAGGGGGGCCCTTGGGCCCCTCTAAATCCGCCACTGAAATATTGGTTCTTGGATGGGGTGCCGTGGGGAGTAAAAAATCGCAGGTACTTGGGTCTTGGTTTATAAATATATACATGTATTTTGCTGAGGTGTAAAAATGACTGATTTTTTTTTACATATATATATACTGTACATATGTACTGCCCTCTGAATATGCCGACAAAATACTGTATTCCACTGATTCTCAAATTATAGTCTCAATTCGCTTTAAATAATGTACCGTGATTTAAGTAATATAATATTTATTATAAATTTTATTTTCTGTCAGTCATATGAACCATTGTTGGTTGTTGATTAAAATACAACACTTGTTTGTTGTAACTTGAATGATTGTCTTCAGTGGCGTAGCTAGACTTAAAAGGAAGTGCATGCTAAAATTGGCAAGGGGTCTGGGGGCCGCCCTGAGGCCCCCAGTGGGTCCACAAAGCCTTTATGATAGTGGCGAGATCCATATAGAGACACCAGACCAAAATATTTAGTCTCTACTGATCTCGCTGTGATTATTATAGTAGTAGAGAGACTTTTTTTCTATATCTTAAATTTTAACGTTGAAGAAATACGGGCTATCGTAGTTTATTAGCATCATTTAACTAAATTGATGATTTTTTGGCAAGTATACAAAAAGTTTTTGCAATGTTTTTTTTTCAAAAATTATTAGAAAAGTCGAGAAAAAACAAGAAAATTAGGGTTATTGTTTCAGATAGTGGACAAATATAAGCCGATAGCTTTAGGCCACCAAAGGTATAATAATTTTTTTTAAGTTGCCCAGAAAAATTTAATTACATTCTCAAGATACTGAGTATATTAAATCATATGGTCTATTCAAACCTAAAATTTAATTTGAGTTGAGAAAATTAAATAATTATACGGTTTATTCACATTCATAATTTCATGAGCTCCATGTAGGAAAAACTGCATTTATTTCATTAAAAAACGTGTAGATTACTTAGTAAAAGTTTAATAAAAATGATGCTAAATCTGGCTGCATGGTTAAAATACATAATTTTATAATCTTTCATTACACCCGTAAAAATGCAATCTTTCATCGTTAACATACATTGTACTTATACGTTTATCAATTTCTTCATGCCTCATTTTTTTTATTTATTTTATTTTATTAATATATTTTTTTTTGCAAAATGATGTGCATGCTCGAGCATACAAGCATACATGGTAGCTACACCACTGGTCTTAGGCGAAAATCGCATTTTATAGCAGAAATCGATATTTACGTTACTGTCGCCGATCATAGTGTGGTTTTTATTTTAAACCAAAAAGAAGTTTTAAATCACTAACATATCTTTTTCTTAGTAAGATTGTCCTACATTTGAGTTATATTTTCTGAATATCACACCCTTCACACATATGCGAGTCACAAATTTTTAAAAATTTAAATATATATATCAAAATTTGATGTCACCGCAAAATTATTACTTTTCTATTTGGAAATTTAAAAGGACTTGAAGAATTGCTGGACTGACTCAATAAGATTAAGTTGTAACTTTTTAACATCATGAACACCTTTTCCATTGCATGGAATGGTAAAAAAGACACTTTTTATCTGTATTTATAAAAAATAGCCCCCCTTTTCTTATGAGTCGAATGGTTAAAAAATTCATCGATATTTACGTGTTAGTATTTATTCACAAATTAAGTTAGAGAACTACACTGGTTCCTATGAGTCAAATTGCCTTACACTCAAGCACTAGAATATGCCTTTAATTAATAGTGGAATAATTAAAAAACAGCATCAAAAGTTACGATAAATCTAAGAAATATATTTACGTTACCGATATTTACGTTACCAATATTTACGTTACCATGTTTTAAAGTAAATTAGAATAAAATTCTAAAGCTGTTTGAACAGATTTGCGAGTGAATCTTAATGATTTAAAAACTAAAAACATGAAGAAATACACTGTTTCTTAACATGACATTTTTTCTGTAACAAGAGTGCAGAAATGCAAATGAAAGTGCACATGCAAGGGTGAACATATTTGACACAATATCTTGTGCATCCAGGTGATTTGAAAATTGAATTGACATAATATTATTCACAAGTAGAATTGTGGTTTAATGACCGAATGTTTCCATTTAGAGCAATTGGTAAATATTGCATAGTTTTTAGTGTAATGCACGTTATCATTCGGGACGTAAATCTGATCGAAACAAAACTTTCTTAAAGTTTGTATTTTGCTGTTTGTTTGAACTGATATAGTGTATCGTCAACTTAAATAATCGTTATATATACCTAAATTGTATACCAAGCTAAACCTTTTGAAGAAGATAATATCATTTTTCTTAGGAAATATGATTCCAGAAAATAGGCGCTGCGCTGCATGTAGGGTCTTGACCGGTCTTCCACATCGGGTTAAAGAAAAAAGACGGCTGTGGGTGTTAGGTGTCAAGAAAATGTCGAAATTGAATCCATTTCCATTTTTGATGCCTTGCAAGAAATACATGTAATAAATTGTGCACCTAATTTTCCCATTTAAATTGTTGCTTAGACATAGAACTTAGAACGAATGCGTCTATGCTTAAATGGTACTGAAAATTCAATTTACGTTATAAATATTAATGTAGAATGTAGGTATACTGCTCTATAGGGCACATATAATATGCAACTGTAGTTATTAACAAACCTTTCTAAGGATGATGGGGGTAACTCTGATTTTTTTTTAAATTTGACGATAAAATTTTCACAAGCAATTAAGCATTTGAAATAATCAACAGATTAAATGGTGGAAGGGGGGGTGCCATAAATTAAATGAATCCTCTATAGATAAGTCATAACTAGAATTTTCAATGCAACCCTTTGTCAAAAACACAGAAAAGAAAATTCATAAAATTTAATTATTTGAAATAATATATTCATTTTCCCCGAATATACTTTTATTTTTGTATGATATCTATATGCGATATTTACGTGATATTCAACAAACACTTCGTAATCAGGTAATGCCGAAATATTTTACCTTCTGATATGTTAAATAATGTGCGTTTCTCTGAACAGATTAATAAAGAATCAAATAATGAAGCATTTTAGGGAATATTATCAATATTTAGCTTATCGTCAGATTTGATAAAAACTTTTTAAAATAAAATGAAAATAATTTCATTTAAATGAAAATTATGCCTGTTTTGTTTTTACTTATAATTGAATCAAAGAATTCACACCCTTTTACAAATTTGCTTAAACGGTTTCATACATGTTTATAGTTAATGATGTGTATTATCTTAATTTTGTATTTTTCAATAAAATTCTTTCGTTTCCACTTATGGCTTTTCAACATCGCGTAAATATCTTGGTGTAAAATTAAACCTCCAACCGCATTCATTTCGAAGGAGGTCAATAAAACACAGCATGAATTATGTAAATCAAATTGTGATTTTTAATAACTATACACCTTCATGTTTCAAATGACATATAAAAGTGTTAGTTTCAGTTCACAAAATTTTTTGACTTTTCCCAAAGTCGATTTGGCACTATAAATTGAGAATGCGTGATTCAGAAATATAAAGAAAAGAAAAAAACTGAAATGAAATGTATTGATGAGATGGGAGCATATTAACGTTGCAGCTTTTGTTGTATTTGAACTATATCTAATTAATTAATTGTCCAGTACTAGCAAATTTATAACCATAATGCGTCGGAAGCAAATGGAAACTTGGGTGGCTAATTGAAAGGGGCTAAACCCCCAAAAAGGACTTTTTTTCCATTATTTCTAGATCATGGCAAAGAGCAAACGGTGAGTGTGACCGGTCAGCAGGGGATGCTCACTCCTCCAGTGGCACCCGATCCCACCTCTGATGTTTTGGGGGTCCGTGTTGGCTCAACTGCTCCTGTTTTGTATTGTTTAGTGGACCTTTTGATCTTGAATATTGTTCCTTTCTCCGTGTGTTTCGTTCATAGAATAACCGACATTCGACATGTATTAAGGCCACGTAACATCGTTTTTGAAATAGGGGGGGGGGGGAGAAAAAAATAACTAACTGAAAAAGTAGATGAGCGAAAAAAAAAGGAAAGTTACCCATAGTCGAAAATCCTATTTCGTCGGGGTGGGAGGGTGTAAAAGCCAACTTCTTTCAATGCCAACTTTTTTTTGGCATTTTTTTTTCAGGAGGCAGGGGTCTGCCACAGAAAAAAATAACTAACTCATAAATTTCTTGACAAGAAAAAAAACGACAAAAAACCCGTAAACTCCTTTCCTATAGGTTAAAAAAAAAATCGCTGGAGGGGGGTG